CATATGATCTTACTTATATGTGGACTATAATGAACAAAATAGAAACAGGCATGGATACATGTAGACTGACAACTGTCAGGGGAGGGGGCTTGGGGGAAGGTAAAGGGATTAAGCATTAAGCCAAAACACACACACACATGTATATATATATATATATATATCCACGTAGACAGAGACAGTGTGGTTGGTGATAGCCAGAGGAAAAGGAGGTGGGAGTAGGTGGACATGGGCAAAGGGGGAAAAATGGGGACAGAAAGAGACTTTGCTTTGGGCAGTGGGCTCGCAATGCATTGTGCAGATGATGTTTTGTTGACTTGTACACTTGAAACCTGTATGGTTTTATGAATCAATGTCACCCCAATAAATTCAATTTAAAAAGTACAAATGAACAGAAAGCAAAAGAAAAAATAAGATATTAAGCAGAATCTAACATTGCTCTTTTGTGTTCCAATATGCTTACCCAATGTTACTTAAGATGCCCTTATGCCTTGACTGGTTTGGCTCAGCGGTAGAGTGTCAACCCATGGACCAAGAGTCATGGGTTCGATTTCAGTCAAGGGCACTACTTCCGTTGAGGTTCGGTCCCTGGCCCTGGTCCAGGTTGTGTTGGGAGGCAACCAGTCAATGTATCTCTTTCACGTTGATGTTTCTCTCTCTCTCTCTCTCCCCCACACTATCTGAAGATAAAAATGGAAAAAAGTATCTTCAGGTGAGGATTTAAAATAATAATGCTTGTTAAATTAAATGTAACTTTATTATTTTACTTCTTTGTCCTAAGGTGGCTGTATCTATATCTCACTAAAGGGACATTGAAGGAAAAGAAAAAAGAAGTGAAAATCTAATATATACATTTTTTTTCTTCAGATATAATCCCACTGCAGCCACGTTGGATTAAGGCTATGTTTATTTAAACCTCAGTCAAATTGGTCGTTGTCAAAAATTGATTGTTAAAAAGTTGATATCTCTTGGTGTTTCCATGGGTCATTCACCCAGCAATAATACCACCAGGAATTATAGCTTCCCTGGGAATAGCAGCTTAATTACACAGAAATTTAAATTTGAGAATAGTGATATAAGTGCAGAAATAGAAATGGTCCTGTCTTTGGGTGGTTTACAATTAAATTTAATACCTCAGATTGTCTTTTTTGTTTGTGTATATTTTAATTACTAAATAGATCTGGCAAATTATAAATTACTGTATTATCACAAGTGATAAGATGTGTACATTAAGAAGCATTGCAATCTGCAGGTATAACATACATAAAGCAAGATTAATAGTATAAAGCAATTAAACTGAACCTATATCCATATAGAGAAAAGGTTTAATGCTACCCTTAAGTGTAACTTAAACTCTCACTAAGTATTTTTAAATGCAATAAAAGTGTGTTAATTTTAGGAGTGACTTCCTTATAAGACCTCATTTCTTAGAGTAAGTTTTCCTTTCTAAGAATAGAAAAGCTTACTGAAATAATTTCTATTGGTAACTCATTCAATAAAGAACTGATTTTTTTCCTTGGCTTTTAAGCTCAATGAAGAAAGCCCAAAATAGCACAGGAAATTTTGTATGTGGTGAATATATGTATGAACTAAATCCAGTTGGGAAAAAATGATTAAATTATCGATAAGGTGATTGTTGGTCCTAAAGCATTCCATTAGTCGTATGATTAGTCTCTTAAATATTTTGAGAATTTGTCCTTAATTTTTCTACAATTGCATATAAAATAGAGGAAACTGCATTTTGCTGTAATTTAATATACCTGTGTGCAACTTACAGTCTTATATAAAAGAAACATGCTAGGTATCTAATAATAATTTTATTGTTATTGTTATCTGTTTCTGGATTTTTTTCCTCTTACTGAATTATTTGTATGCTACCACTAACAAGATCAATGTCTGTATTTCCAATTTAGCCACACCTTTGCTTCTCAGTAGCATGACAGTTGGCTTTACAGTGAATTTAACAAGACCTTGGTAAATACATGGAGCACTTAGCAAAACATACAAAGCTCTTTACAAAGAACATTTTGGATCTCTCCTCTCTCTCTCTCTCTCTTTCTCTCTCTCTCTCTCTCGCACACGCATGAACACACACACACACACAATTTGGTCTTTTTCTGGAATTATTTAGCTGTGTACTTGGCAAAGTACGACTTCAAAAATAAAGCAATGTGAAACATTTATAAAGCAGCATATCACAGATTACATGTTCTATGTAGTTCTGAAGGTATGTTTTATTCACTATAGATTATAGATGTTTTCAGTTCCCTTTCTGACGATGCTGCAGTAGGCTACTTTCTCCCCCCTCTTGATGCACTGTGTGTGATGAAACCAAAGATGTGATTGTCCATAAGAAAATAAGAGGAATTTGAGCTTTGAGAAAGGGGAGAAAAGCAAGTATTGTATTCTCCTCTGTGCTGTGTTTTAACTTCATCAGTTTTTTTCCTTCTTTTGCTAAATGATGTCTATTATAGTATGATGTCAACTTTTTCAAAAGTGATTTTGGTTTCAGTAAGAGAAAGCAGAGAAAATGAAGAAATCTACACATAAGAAAGCTAAGCAAAAGTATTGCCTTTTAAGAAACAGCAGTGGTAGTTTCTAAATGGCTTTATTCAAACAAGAAAAGCATTAAAATACCCTGCAAGAATGAAAGGGGCAAGTTCAGGGCACGATACTGTTTTATAGGTATGATGCTTGAATTTTATACTAATATCTAGATTTGAACCAGAAGGAATCAGTTAAATATTAGAATTTGTCATTTTGAAACAACCAAAATGTGCCTGTTCATTGAACTAAGATTATTTATTTATATTTTTCAGTTTTATTATATAATAAATGATAAATAAAATTTTAAGATATTTAAAGTATACATGGCAATGATTTGATGTACGTGTACATTGAAAAGATTCTTCCCATCTAGTTAATGAAGACATCCGTCACCTCATTTATTTGTTTGGTGAGAACACTGAAGTTCTACTCTCTTAGCAAATTTCAGTTATACAATACAGTGTTATCAACTATAGTCCCCATGTTATACATTAGATCCTCATCAGTTTTTTCTAGTGATGAATTTTTCTTCCAGCTGTCTCAGTTGTATAACTGTGAATAACCACATTATCAAGGATCAGGAACATCCGGCCCTCAGGCCATATAAGGCCCTTGAAATCAATACCAGCTAACATCACAACCTCACCAAATTAGCCTACCAAACATAGCAGGCTGATTTTTAAGTTAATAATTTTGTATGGCTCAAGAATGATGTTATAAATATCCAAATGGCCCTTAGCAGGAAAAAGGTTCCCCACCCCTGTAATATTTAGTCATCTGATAATGCAGATATATTTATCAGTTTAAAAATCCTTTAAACAGGTACCCAAAATGGCTTAATGCAGCTACTTTTTGCTTTGTCCATTCTTCTGGTTCCTCTGATACTTTTTGTAAGACCTGTTAATTCTTTGTAATTAAGAAGAGCACCTATTTAATTTAGAGATATTTTTATACTTCTTAAAACAGTAAATATTAGCATTTGTAATTTGAAAGAATTAGAAATGTGTAGAGAAATAGTGTTTTTTTCCCTAAGCTGCATATAGGCACATTAGATAAAAGGGTATATTTTATTTCTCATATTAGCAGTGGAGTATGAACTGTAAGGTAAATAAAAATTGTAAACAGCCTATAACATTTTTAAAAAGATAAATTTTACTTAGGCATTAAAATTGTCTCCTGAAAAAATTCAGTAACATAATTTAAGATGTAGTTGAAAATACAGTTTAACTATTCTGTTGATTAATTTGATAATATGAATAAAAGAACTTAAGTACTTGATCATATGGTTTCTAAAAAACTGATACATATGTTTGATTCTACACTATATTGTCACAGCTATGATTCCTTTTTAGTGTAATAATTCCTGAAGAAAGTATTTGAAATTTTTTGGCCTCACTTTAACCCCACAGATGGTTATATTTGGTTTCAAATTTTGCAAAATGATTACATGTATTAGTTGATTTTTAAACTATTTCTATTCTGTTCTGTTTAGTGCTACTAGAAATTTAGAATGTTTCATTCTTTGCTATGTGCCAGAATCACATTGCATTCTAGATGAAATTTCTAGAGAAAGGCTGGGTAAGGAAATTGTAGCCATGTTATATAAAATTAGAACTAAATTTATAAAAACATATCAAAGTGAGTTATTTTAATTTTCTTATATGAATTAGATATAAATAGCTTAGTTAGCATTTATTGAAAGTCTGAAGTGTGACTATTGATGATATATAATTATATACAGACCTTGTTCAGTCTTATTACCTGCTTATGCAAAGATGTCCATTTTCCTGGCCATCAAAGTAACTGTATTTTGAAAAACATGCCTAGAAAGACAGCCTCACTGATAAGGTGTATCTGTTCCAAAGTTAAAATAAAGTATCACTTTATGTTTCATTTTAAATAACTATCTGTGCTTGACAAAACATATAGATATCTACTTTTTTTGTTCCACATTTAATTTTAAAATGAATATTTTTAAAACACAAGTGAAATGTAAGAATGAAATTTTCTGTTTGGCTACAGTAATTTGTCATATAACCATTGGCAAAAGTCTAGTTAACAAAAAAATCAGTAGTGATCATGAAATTTTGGAAAATTCTAATTTTTAACTCATAACCTTATGAGGCATTTATCAGACCACGATACATTTCATTTTCTCTGCCTTTTTTATGTGATTTATATTAAATATGAAAGAGTTCTACCCTTTTCAAATGTGGTACTTTTGTTTTATACATATAGGAATAAAATTTAATGACTGTGGGCTAGTTATAAAATTACAAGATTTATTTAAAAGCTTAAAACTTGGATTTTACTTTATTATATTTTTGACATATAATATTTTCTGTGTGATCAGTTAAAAAGTATAATTTTTTTCCACAGTTATAAGAGGAAATGATTCTTCTTTATCTTACTCTCAAACGCACTGTTTTCTGAATTTTGGTTTTGTTTCTCTGCAGACGGTGGGTACGGCTGCTGTTTGGGCGAGAGTTCCCCCTACAGGATCTTCTAGTGGTCTGGGATGCCTTGTTTGCAGATGGCCTCAGCCTGGGTTTAGTGGATTATATCTTCATAGCCATGTTACTGTACATCCGAGATGCTTGTAAGTGTTAATACCTTGCCTACATTCAAGTAGGTGATCCTGATTTTAAGTATGTTTTATCTTTTAAATATACTTTATCTTTTATTCTGAATTACTATACTTACATTTTATAGTAGACAATATATTGAAGGTTCAAAGGAAGATACTAAATATATTTTTTGTTTGTTAACTATGTACATATTGGGAGATGTGGGTGATTTTATTCTGAGAGAATTGGAGTATTCTTCAGAACCGTTTTTCTGAAGACTTTACTCCTGCTTCAATCTCCTCATTACACACATTTGTGAAATGCACACATAAAAAGCCAGTATTTCAGATATGTTTAGAGCTCCACCTTCTGACAGGTAGGTAGTATTCAAGGATATTTATTGAGAGATTAAAGCTATGTTTTATAGTCTCAACAACTTGCCAATAAAAACTAAATATTACATTAAAAAATATTTTATCTTCTCAGTTATATTTTAGCCACATGTATTTCTCAATCAAGTACCAAATGGTAGTTGTATTGCATCTCATCTGATCTACCCATAGGTGCCTCCCATAGTTGGAAAGCCCGTGTGCATCCCTTTGGAACAGTCAGATAATCCTGAGCTTGAAGGAAATATCAGAGCATGTTTTAAATTTCAAAATACCTCACATTGTTTTCCTTCTCAGAAAAATAATCACAGTTCACAAAACAATATTTGTAAGCCAAAATATAATTAGGAAAGATTGCACAAAGTGATGATTAAATAGGAAATACAACACTGTCATAAGAGTAGGCCTTTCAGAAGAATGTATATTTCGAGTCATCCGTAACCTTGACTGTTAAACTGCTGTATGGCGCTCTTATTTATTCATTGGAGCCACTTGTGCCAGATGCTCTTGTTACGCCTCTGGTAGCACGAATAACATTCTTTAACATTTCAGATTACACTTTTTTAATTCCCCCAAATTACTTGAATGAATAAATGACAGGAATACCACATTTTATCCAAAAATTGTGGGATTTTTTTTCTGTGCCTTGAAGGTCAAATACTTTGGATTTTGACAGACAAAGTGAAAAGCTCCTTTTTTTCTGAGTCAGAGCTAATCATATAAGAACATGGAAATCATAAGCGGAAACATCTGGAAAGTAGAGAAGCATGTTTGGGTAGATTTGATAGATACTAGATTTTTTTGATATTCAATACTAGCCTCCCATTTTAAAATTGTTTGATTTTTTTTAAAAAAGTAAGTAATTAAAAAAACCCAAAGGAATGAGAAACTTCTTTTTTTTAAAAAGTGTTGGGCCATAATACAGGATAGGGCAAAAGTAGGTTTACAGTTGTTCATATGGAAAATAATACAATAATTAATAATAAATAACATAAGAATAAACTGTTTTGCGTATTCAAAACTGTAAACCTGCTTTTGCCCTACTCTGTATTTTCACAAAATTTTTTATAGTAAAGAGCTATTAAAATGTATTCTGATTTTCTGTAGTCTAAAACAAGTCATATTTGCTCTTTTCTTAACTTTGACATATCACAACTATATTTTTAATTTAATTGTCCTGTCTTTTATGCTAAGATCTATTTTAAAATTAATTTCATGTACAGGCAAATTTTTGGCAGCTGAAGCTCTTACACATTTTTTAATCCCTCCACTGATGATGTTATAAGACATTTGGGCACATGTGAAAAAATGCAGGAGTAATGAAGTTGTTTATTCATTTCAGTGTTTAGTCCAACTTGCTTGGTTAAATCCATAGCCGTGCATGCAGTCTTTTAAATAGAGTGACTATTTATTACGTATGCAAGGGCACTGCCCCTGTCCTCAAGAAGCTTACCAGCTCATAGGAAAGACTGATATAATTAATTCCAAACTAACATGTCCAGTGCTGTGGCGCGGTGTGGTCAGGCACCTAGAAGATATAAAGGAGAGGTGCTGGCTCCCCTCTGGACCTGCTGTAAGTGATTAGAGGATGGTGTAGATGTTGGCAAGCCAAAGAGGGGATCTGCACTCTTAGAAGAAGGAACAGCATGAACAAAGGCTGTGAAGTGAGAAGCAGTTTCCTGGGGGTTTGTGTATGTGTGTGTTTCTATAAGCTATTTGGTATTATTGTAGTGCAAAGGGAAAAAGAGACTAATGGGTTGTGAGACTGAAGAAGTAAACAGGAGTGGGATCCTGATAAACGTCTTTATCCTGTAAGGGATAGCGAGCAATTAAAAGGTTCAAATTAGAAGTGTGGTCAGTTCCAGGTCACACTGGCAGCAGTGTGGAAAGTAGACTTGAAAGAGACAAGACTAGAGCAGGGAAATCAGAAGTTATGACAGAAATAAGAGGTTATGACAGTAGTCCAGGGTAGAAATACATTAGAGAAATCTTCAGAACTAAAGTCAGCATATCTTGGTGATGGGTGAGAACAAAGTCTCAAATGATCCCCAGCTTGGAGAGTTGAGTAGCTCGATAATATGTATAACTTGGGTAAGAAATACAAGAATTAGCAGGTTTTAGGAATGCAAGTGATTATTGGAATTTGGTCGTACTGAATTTGACATATTCGTAAGAAATAATAACTTGAAAATTTGGAAAATAAAGCTCAATGAGTATCAAGCTGCAGACTTAATTTTGTGAATGGTTGATAGGAATATATTAGTTAAAACTGTAACAGTAGATATGATCTCCTAAGAATAGGTAACCATACTTCCCAGTTTATTTGGGACAGTCTTGGTTTACACCTGCTTATTATGAGTAGTAATTATTAATATTAATACCACCCTTTTTAATTCTCAAAGGCATCCTATTAGGATCATAAGAATTATATGCTCAACCTACCTAAGGTGTGTGCTCACAGAAGGAGAACGTGATCAAAGTGGAACTCTGCATTGAACATCAGTGTTTAAGTTCATTTTCAGTGTGAACACCAGAGAAGGAAGAGCTTGTGTTGTAACCTCACAAAACTGTTATCTGAGCCAGGGAAGGTGATGGGGGTCAGAAGGGCTGTGGAACAGTAAGGTAAGGCTGGAAAAGCCCCTTCGGATTTGGCCCCGTGGAGGCAGCCACGTGGTCCCTTTGCCAGAATGGAGTGAGAGGAATGGGAACAGAGCGGAGTCATGGTACGGGAAGGAGTGGCAGCAGTTACGGCTTGTAACGGCTTCGCTGCTGTTGGTCTTGCTGCTTTATGTGTGCATTGCATTTTCAACCAGAAAGTCAACTAAATAACAATGATGTGGGAATAGCATCTGTAGAGTAATCCTTAAAGAAAGTCAACAGAGAAGGGAAGAGGAAAGATGTAAGTAGAGGTCTGTGTGGGGGCAAGGAAGGTTGAAGTGTGGTTACAATGAGACCAGGGCACGCTGGAGGCGGGAGAGACCTGATGGTGAGGTTTACTTTAAAGCAGTCTAAGGTCAGCACTGTTTCCCCTCCTGTTCCATGGATGCGAGCTATGACAGTAAAAATTATCTTACAAATTACGGAAATTTTAACTTGCTTATTGTTTGTTCTTCATGGCCCCACCCCCCAGTGAGAGACAGGTTTTTTTTCTGTCTTAATTTTTCTGTTGTATCCCACCATCTAGAACAGGGCCTGGTACATAGAAATCTTCCAGACAAATATTGTTTGAGTGAAATAATAGAAGAAACAAAGACTCAGAGGCCATGGAGCGAGGTCAGGAGCCCTGTGGAAGGCTGGCTGTGGGACAGGAATAAAAGAGCGCGTGCTGGTCCTCAAAGGGAGCTCTGGGCAGGGTTCAGGAGCAGACCACTCTGTCGGTGGAGAGGGTGGAAAGTGGAGGAATGCCATAACTGATAAAGGAGGAAGCCAGGTTTTCTGCTAAGAATGAGGCATGATAGTGTTAGGGGCTTGAGAGGAATGACCGGAAAGTGTGGGAGAGAGGGCTGACCAAGGACTAGGACAGCCTGGTCTAGCTGGTGAAGACACTGCAGAGAAAGCCAGTGGGCAGTGGCATCAGGCTTCAAGATTGTTTCCTGCCAGTCATGCTTAGCAGTCGAAGCAAGATTCAAAGGAGGCAGATCATGATTCAGGCTTCAAGTTAGGACCACGTCCAGATGAATTAGGTAGATGTGGAGGGAGACAGGACGACCCGGAGGATGCTGATTGCATTTTAAGAGAGTGGTTTAAGATGTGTAAGGAGGGAAACATGGCCAGGAAAAGACTATGGGGAAATCAAGAGTATCAAGGGATTAGAGGTCGGGTATGAGAGCTAAAATAAGAGGTTGTGGTCAAACAAGAAGACATAGAGCAGTTCTGGATGTGACAAGGATGTTAAAGAAGAAATATCACTGAGAAGATCAAGAGATTGTGAGGGAACTGGGATTCTTGTTTGGTCCTCCATGGACACGTCACCTAGAATTATGATAAGAAAAGATACAGAAAGAAACATGATGAGTGAAGCAACAAAAGTCTCAAATGCAGAAGAGTGACCAAAAAAACAGCCTTTACTCCATCAGTCATTTACTCAAAGAATCAACCGTTCAATTAGTATTTATGGAGTGCCTACTATTTGCCAGCATAGATGACTATTTGTCATGAAGGGGCTTGATGGAGGTATGGAGGTGTGGCATGGACTTCAGAGGAAAGAAAGGGTGTTTTATGGAAAGATAGGAAGAAGTGGTTGGAAACAATCAGGGAGCAAGGTGATGCCCCCATGTCCGCCACTGGAGGTTCCCTGGGCAGTGACTCCAGGAAGGCTAGGCTCAGAGGGGAAGGCATTGTTCCTTAGAGAAAAGGATTGAGAGGGTGGGGAATAGCAGGAAGCAGACACAGAACAGGATTTGGTAGAGCTCATGGGAAGGCAGTGCTAATTAAATGAGCTTACACTTTAAGCCAAGACCAAGCACAAGAAGAAGGTGGACTATTTGCCAGCCTCAACATTTCAAGTGGAACATTGGGGTCAGGTTCTTATTCCATCTCACTGGATTCTGACTCATGAAGCCCTGACTCATGGTACATCAGGGTGGTGATGGCTTTGGACGTTGCAGGTTTTCTTTTGTAGCTGTAGGTGATATACTTGTAGC